TATTAAAAAAATTAATTTTTTAGTACTATTTCTAAGATTTTTATGTGAATTAGTCTATATAATGACATTTATTTATTAATGAATTTAAAGATAGTTTGTTGTTATATACTAAACAATATTCTAATTAATTATGGATCTTCTCAATTATATCAATTGTGTCCTATGAGGTCTGCCACTACAATTACACATGCTTCCCCCATTTAGTTCAAATCTATAATCAACATTTAACTAAAATAATAAAAACTTTATTTCTATGTAGGATAATAATGGTTCGGGAAAGCACTGCTTTCCCCGCGATGGAAGTGCACATTTCTTCTTCGCTTCTTTGTTAAAAGTTCAAGTTGTCAGTGCAGCAATATTATAATTATTCTTATATCTCTTAATTTTCTCTCAATTTTCCACTGGTCAAAAAAAAAAAAAGGTCCGGGAAAACCCACGTCACTACATCAATGTCTAGAGTGGTAAGACTTACCAGGCCTGAAATCAACCTACCGAAAGATTTTGTCCTATGAAATTAAAAGAAAAAAAATTAGTATCCTTAGTTTGGAAGTCAGTAAAATTTTATGTCCTGATTAGTAGGTATGGAAAAGAGAGAGAGAAAAAAAAGGAAGAAACTTTGGCGTTTTGCTGCATAAAGGGTCAAACTTTCCTCTAGCCAGAAACACACAAACGGACCAATGCTGCTGCAACTGCAAGCACTTGGTTTGCCTTCTTCATCTTTCCTTAACACCAAAAACCCTCTTTCTTCTTCTTTGAAACAGCATAAAGGCATCTACTTTACTTTCCCCTTAACGCCAAAATCTCATATAAACCTCTCAACCGCTGTTTCAACCCAATACAGAAGCCCCATTTTGAACCTCGAGCGAAACCAGAGCCAGAACAAGCCCTGCAATACAACCGCTGATAGATGGTCTCTTCGAGGAAAGACAGCGCTTGTCACTGGCGGAACTCGTGGAATTGGGTAGACACAAATGCATATATCTTGTAAAGAAAAGGACTTTTTTCTTTCGATTTGTGCTTGGTTTTGATCTGGGTGTGTTTGTATTTAGGCGAGCAGTGGTGGAGGAATTGGTGGGACATGGGGCGAGAGTGCATACGTGTTCCCGCAATGAAATTGAGCTGAATAAGTGCTTGAGAGATTGGAGCAGTTTGGGGTTTGAGGTTTCAGGTTTCAGGGTCTGTCTGTGATGTGTCTATTGGAGCACAGAGAGAGAGCTTAATAGAGACAGTCTCTTCTTTGTTTAGTGGCAATCTCAATATCCTTGTAAGGTCCTGTTCCCTCATTGTACACGTACATGTAGAAATTTGTGAACAAACATGATAACATGATGAAAGTATAGTTGAATGTTTGAACGCATCTGTTCTGTTTGATTATTTGCCAGTAAGAGAAATGAGCTAGTTTTGTGGCTCCTGTTAGGTCATTCAATGAATTAGAGAATAATACTCTGCTACTTTAAGCTGTTGTTTTTCAAAATTGAGAAAGCTTTCTGGAGAGATTTTTCGGGTTGTAGAGTACTTGTGCAGTTGTGCATTCAGGCAAGTAATTCTAGTGATAATTGAAACACGTTGAAGCTTTATTACTGATTATTTTCCATTTATGTTTCTTTTTAGTGAGTGAAGTGAAGTGCTTCTCGGTTTCTTGAAAACTAAAATTCTAAAACTAAATGCATGTATTGAATGTCTAATACTATTTTTTGTCAGCATAGATCAACAATGCTGGGATGAATATTCGCAAGCCAATGGTAGAGTTCACAGCTGAAGAGTTCTCAATTCTCATGGCAACCAATTTTGAATCTGTTTTCCACATGTGCCAACTTGCTTATCCACTCCTAAAGGCATCAGGAGTAGGAAGTGTTGTATTCACATCCTCAGTTTCTGGTTTTGTTTCACTCAAGTCAATGTCTGTTCAAGGAGCAACTAAAGGTACTTACGTTTTTGTGAAGAATTTTTTATTTTTTATTTTTTATTGGTTTGAATTTAGAGTAACATCTAATATTTTCCTTTTTCTTTTCCTTTTTTCCCCTTTTTTGGGGTGTGGGGATGATTCTTGACTCAGGAGCTATCAACCAGCTTACGAAATATTTGGCATGTGAGTGGGCCAAAGATAATATAAGGAGTAACGCTGTTGCACCTTGGTACATCAGAACCCCTATGGTGGAGCAAGTAAGCTTACATGCTTCTCTCCTTTTAGTATGAATAGCATCTTATAAGATGATACCTGGGTTTAGCCAAAAATTACACTGAATGGTTTATGATATTTTGGATATATTTTTTAATTGACTCTGGGATGTTGCTCAGGTGACTTCCTGATGCAGATGAAAAAGGAAATAATATATTTATTAGGATTTTATTATGATTATGATTATATAGGAATTAAATGGAAATATTACTAGTAGTTTATATTCATTAGGATCTGTTATTATCTTTCAATAAGGATTCAATTGGGAGTCTAATTAGGAAGTAAATCTAATTTGGGTTTTTAGGTTTTATATTTAAGCTTAGGTTGTATTAGGGTTATGGAGTTAAGGTGTTTATGAATTGAAATTATCTTCTAGAAGTCCCTAATTCTGTTATTCTCTTCCCACCCTTTCCTCTGTTTCTAAGTTCTATCCTCACCTTTGCTTCCTGTTCTACATCACTTCCCCTAACATGAATTTTCGGGATTTCTATTGAGTTGGAGTTTTGATGAGTGTTTGTCATCTTTTAAATTATTCTCCAGCATTTAAGCTCCTTCGACAATTTTTATGACACAATCAAAACATTTAGAACTTGACTTAATGCTTGGTGCTTGGCATGAATGAGAATCTGATTCCTCAATTTTACATTTAATAGTGTCTTGTCCAGCAACAGTTGCCAGAAGCTATGCAGTGTGCAATGATTTGGGGTTGCACAATTTTTCCTTCCCTCACTGAAGACATGCACATAGCCACACATACACACATATTGAGGCAATTACAGCTTATGTTTTTGAACTTTTTGGAATATTTGCACATGGTGATCATAACTATCTTTATTTCCAGGTACTCAGCAATAAAGAATATTTAGAAGAAGTATACTCGCGAACTCCTCTTCAGCGCCTTGGTGACCCAACAGATGTTTCATCTCTAGTGGCATTCCTTTGCATGCCTGCATCATCATACATAACTGGCCAGATCATTTGTGTTGATGGGGGGATGTCTATGAATGGCTTCTATCCAAGAGATGACTAGTCTAGGGTAGTTAATTCAAAGTTGCTGATATCTGTCTCCCTCATTCACTGGCCTCTTTCTTCTTCTTTCTCCCTTTGCCCTTCTTCCCTACTTTCTTTTCTCTGGATCTCTTCATTTGTTGTTGGAAAGTCTGAATCACAGTTGAGTTGACATTAAAGCTTTAGAAGTTTCACAATTTCTAACCTTCATTCGGACTTTTACGAGTCGTTGGCATTCTATTGTTCCCTATGTGTAATATCCAGGAACTATTTCCTCATACGTTATCTGAATTTGGAATATGCAACTTGAAACCTCAACATATCAGGACCTTTGTTTTGCCAATAAGCCAAGGTCTAATTGGCCGGAATGTTAACCATTAATGTGTGTACTTACCCCTTTTTTCAAACTTTCTATCTCTTGCTGTTTTGGAGGATGAGATATTTTTGCAGGCACCTAGCCCCCAAACTTCTCTAGGGCGCACAGGTAGTATCTTCTTTGGTGACACTTCTACACCCACCGGCAGGCAGCAGCCTTTGTTTGTGTTGATGGAGGGATGGTGATTGATGGCTTCTCTTTCCAATTCAATTGAAAGCATCAAAAAATTTCCCTGCCTGCATTTTTCATTGTTCAGAATTGGAATTTATGGATTGCTTTTATATGCTAAATAAAATGCAATAGATGTAATCATACTCAGTTCAGTTCCCTAAGATTAAATGCGCTTTGCTTTTTCATTGTTCATGCATCAGAACTCGACATATCTTTTTCTTCTCCGTTACTGTATAGAGAAGGACACTACAGGACACTTGGACAATATTTGGATGGTTCATTGGCTTGGGCCAACTCCAATAATCCATCCTCCTGATGTAAGTACGAGGAAATTTGGTAGGAATTACCCTGTATGATCTTCAAAATTCTTTGTCAAATGTGGAGACCTTTTAGGCTGGACAAATCAAAAGGACTATTCAAATGGAAAGCAATTAAGTTTTGTATGGGAATGATGCAAAGTTGGCATCTTTTAGGAGGAAAAATAGAAGTTTGTATCCTCTATTAGAAAAATTGAAAGTTTTTATTGTATCCATATTTGTTGGTTTTACCGGGATTGGTGTGCTGATTGTTGATTATGCAAACATTGATGTTTTTAAGTTTATTAACAATAACGATTGGTGTGGTGATTGAGTTTTGGAAATTTCTAAATTTATCAATTTCTTGAATTTTTGATATATTTTTATTATTCAAAACATTTTTTAAAAGTTCCTGCAAGGCCAAATAAGCTATAGCTAGATGAGAGGCACAGCTCCCTTCCACCACCACAACCTTGCATGGTTATTATCACACACGGCTACATAAATTTTTCAATATTTTTAAAATGACTATATAAAATTTTTAATATTATCTTTAAAAATATTAATTTTATTTAATTAATTATTAAAAATAATTGTGGTAGAACATTTCATTGACATATTAAAATTAGTCTATTAGTTGATATTTTTAATTGAATTATTTGTTTTATAATTTAGACTATATAAAAATATAAATAATGACTATTAAATAGAAGAGAATTTTTAATATTAAAATATTTCTTCCTTTATTCAATAATAAATGTTATACTATTTAATACAATCTAAGATACACAATACTTTTTCTTAAGGTGTTCATATCTAATTCAATCCAATAAAAAAACCAAACCAATCTAATGTAAAATTACATTGGTTGGATTATAAAATTTTTAAACCAATATAATTGGTTTGGTTTGTGATTTTATTGTCAAATCGTCTGAATTATCTAATTATAAAATAAAATTTAATTATAAAATAACTTAATTAAAAAATATAATATTTTTTGTAGTATTTAAATTTTTTATTTATTTTATAAGATAATAACTCTATTAACTTAATTAAAAAATAAAAATAGAACATCCTATATTTCTTAATTTATTTTTCCTTCTTAATCTTGCACTCTAATCCTAATTTTAGATTTTTAATTCCCCTGCAAGTCTACCCCTTAAAGTTAGTTCTCAACTTTATTCTTAAAACCTTAAATTTCTAATTTGTTCCTAAAATGATATTTTGATTCTCATAGCTAAGTTTTAAAAAAATATCAATTTAAAAATCTTAAAACTATATAATAGAACTAGTTTTATACTATTTTTGTATATTTGGTTGAGGAGTTGTAAATCTTAATTATGAATGCTTTTGATCAATTATAGTGATATTTATATGAAATTTTATTTACTTTTAACAAAATTTGGAAGATGAAAGTGAATCATTTGGTGTATTAAGCAAATAAAATAGTTTTAATATTTAAAAATTACTTGCATTACTTTGAAATTTAGAGTCATCTTTTATTGTCCTTGGTACATTTGGTGATGTAATAAAAAAATTTCCAAATTTTTGAATATAAGAATTTATTTATAATTTGTGTCTTTTATTATATTTCCATTGATTTTGATATTAATGTGTTTCATAATTATATTTTTTTATTTGATATTAAAATTTTTTACATTATCTCATATATTTAATAATGTTAAAAATCAATCAGATTGACAAAACCACACTAATTTGATTTAACTTGAATTTGTTTAATTATCATATAATAGTAAATTAAATTAATTTAAAATTTTTATTAATTCATTAAATTAGATTAATTTTAAAAATATTAAAATCCAAATCCAACCAGCGAACACACGTACTTTTTCGTTTTTTCTAAGAGTAAGGATGGGAGACGAAATCGAGGGACAAATTTGAGGGAAGACAAATGATGTAGAGGTCAAATTAATAATTACAGCACATGCATAAATCCTTCTATCACTTATCGTCTCCTAAATTGGTTCCCGATTTCGTCCCCATCATTACTCTTTTTCTAGATACCATAATAAGCTATTTAGTGAAAGACATTTGTCGGTAGGCCGATGTTTTTTTCCCTTTGTTGGTAGGCGGCTGTTGAGGGACCCAGTGCGTTCATTTTCCCTCCACTCTGGCCACACAAAGTTTTTCTCACTCACTAATCAGTATTCCTTGAAAAAATTCTAGCCACAAATCTACCATATTGCACTGTGAATTTTTCTGTTAAAATCAAGGATCATCATGGATTCAGTGCACACAGGACATTGAGAGCATGGCTGAGGCAGAAAGCAAAGAGAAGAGCAGTAGGTGGTCTCTGCAAAACACAACAGCTCTAGTCACTGGCGGAACCAAGGGAATCGGGTTTTTCTCTCTTCCTTTTACCATCACTTCCTTTTCTTTGTGGCATTTGATCAAACACTCGCATAACTGTAATCATCATTCTTCAGGTATGCCATTGTGGAGGAATTGGCAGCCTTTGGAGCCAGAGTACATACCTGCTCTCGAAACGAGACTCAACTTAACGATTGCTTAAATGAATGGAAGAAGAAGGGATTTAATGTCACTGGTTCAGTCTGTGACGTATCTTCTAAAGCTGAACGAGAAAAGCTAATCGAAACAATCTCTTCCCTTTTCGGTGGAAAACTCAACATACTTGTAATTCCCTTCTACTTCTCAGTATTTCCTATTTCAGTTCATAATTTAAGAAGTATATGGCAGTATAGGAGAACTTGCATGGGATTGTGAAACTTAGCATACCCATAAGTTACCTCAATGTATTTCATTCAAGATTTCACCGATAAATGCTTGGTTTAGTTGAAACTCACCAATTTCGAAACGTTAATTAAGTTCAACATCTTCATGTACCAACAAAATTTGAAGGATTTTGGTAAGAAAATGCAACTTTGAAGAACTAAGAATGTCGAATTTTTTGTTCTAGATAAACAATGTAGGAACAACCACCTGGAAGCCAACATTGGAATACACAGCTGAAGATTTCTCATTTCTAATGAAAACCAACTTCGAGTCAGCTTTTCATCTTAGCCAACTATCACACCCTCTTTTGAAAGCTTCTGGAGAAGGAAACATTGTTTTCATATCTTCTATTGCAGCTGTCACTTCATTCGATGGCATCACCATTTATGCCGCAGCAAAGGGTAATTTTTATTCTTATTTAATTTTTGTCACCATTCCCATTCAACAATATATTTTGGTTTATCAGAAAGTAATGATGTTTAATTTCCTACGATTTCATTTTTCAGCGGCATTGAACCAATTGACGAAGAATCTGGCCTGTGAGTGGGCGAGGGACGGGATAAGGACTAACTGTGTCGCGCCTGGAGTCACCAAGACCCCTCTTGCTGAGCCTGTAAGAACATGTCTACATTTTTGTATTGCAAAATGCAACAGAGAATGTGAAGTTTTGTATATAACTGATTCCATTTGCTTGCAGTTACTCAAGAACGAGGAGTTTGTAACGGGTTTTTGTGCCCAGACTCCAATAGGACGCCTAGCAGAGCCAGAGGAGGTGTCCCCTCTTGTTGCATTTTTATGCCTGCCGGTAGCCTCTTACATTACCGGCCAGACAATTTGTGTGGATGGAGGAGCAACCGTGAATGGCTTCTCTGCCTTGCAAGTCTCTTGAGTTAGAAAAGCTCAAAAAAACTATCAACTAGATGAGTACTGCCCAAGAATAACTTTTCTGTATAAAACTAAAATAAGAAGATCTTATAATCAGACTCAATTGCCTGAGACATTGCAATTGGATCCAATTCAACTTGTATTGTCATATCTCTATCTCTATGGAGTCGACCAAGTGTTTTAATTTGCAACCTTAATTATAGTAGTAGTAATTTTTGAATAGAAAGAGAATAAACAGAGATATCTAATTTAAGACAGAAAAGGAAATAAAGGAGATTGGATTAAAATCTAGTTATTATTAGTAAACTTAAGAACATCAATGTTTGCATAATCAACAATATCCTAAATAAATTAATTAGTATACTAATCAAGTTGTCAACAACTAAAGCTCGTTTTGGAGCTCGCCTTCGGTAACAGACCTAATAATTCTATCTCCATCGGTTTGTTTATCTTCAACAACCGTCCTAATGTCTTGGCTTCTTAGGCAGGAAACCGCAGGAGTGGTTGAAGTGGCCGTTGCTTGGGCGTTGTTGCATTTTGCCACAACCTTGTTTGTTGGAATTGAAGGAGCAATGGTCACTTCATTCATTTTAATGTTTGTGCAAGGAACTATGCTGCTGCAATTTAACGTAATGGCTATACGGTCAGCAGATGTTCCTCAAAATCCATTAAAACTGCATCACTTATAGATACTGCAGTTCCCTATTTCAAAAAAAAAAAAGAAGTATTACCTGCTCTCGCAATGAAACTCAACTTAACAATTGCTTAAATGAATGGAATAAGAAGGGATTTAAACGTCACTGGTTCAGTCTATGATGTATCTTCTCAAGCTGAACGAGAAAAGTTGATGGAAACAATCTCTTCTCTCTTCGGTGGAAAACTCAACATACTTATAAGTTCCCTATACATTCCATAATTTCCTAGTTCAGTTCAGAGTTTAAGAAGCATATGCCAATATTACAGAACTTACATGGGATTGTGAAATTTTAAAGAACTTACAAGCTACAATTGCTGAATTTTCAGGGTATAGATAAACAACGCTGCAACACACTAGTGGAAACCAACATTGGAATACACAGCTGAAGATTACTCTTTTCAGATGAGTACCAATTTTGAATCAGCTTATAACCTCTGCCAACTATCCCATCCACTTCTGAAAGCCTCTGGAGCAGGAAGCATTGTTTTCTTATCTTCCATTGCTGGTGTCACATTCTTTAACTCCGGATCTATATATGCTGCAGCAAAAGGTGATGCCTAATTATACATCTGAATTGTGCTGCCAATTCCAATTCATTTTCAGCGTCTTATGTTTGTCTACACATTTTGCAGCGGCATTGAACCGACTAAGGTTTTGGCCTGTGAGTGGGTAAAGGACAGTATGAGGACTAATTGTGTGGCACCTGGCCTCACAAGAACCCCCATGGCTGAGCCTACAAGTAAGACCTACAATATTCTGCTTAATTTTGGAAATTTTGGATCAGATTGAATTAACATGGTTTTTCTTAGAAATTCCTTCTCTTGCAGCTGTTGGAGAATGAGAAGCTACTGAAGGCATATTGCACTCAAAACTTCTCTTGGACGAATGGCAAAACCAGAAGAGGTGTCCTCCCTGGTGGCATTTTTATGCATGCCTGCACCTTCCTACATCACAGGCCAGACCGCTTGTGTTGATGTGGGAGCAACTGTAAATGGCTTCCCCTTCCTAGGCAATTGAAAAC